ACTCTGACACGAACTCCTCCACTGAACACCAAAACAGTCAATTCAATAAATACCCTTATTTACCGAAATACCCCCGGAAGACAACTGGTCAACCTTTGGACAAGGTCAAAGTCAACCCCTGACTGACTCTACTCGCCGAGTCAACCCGATGACTCGCCGAGTCCCTATGCTCAGAACTTCCCTCAATCTGCGACCTAACTCGCCGAGTCACCCCGAGACTCGCCGAGTCCAACAACTATGAGTCCACTCGCACCCAACTCACCGAGTCATCCCTTGACTCACCGATTCTCGACTCAACCAGAAAATATTAGGACTCTTCGACAAGACTCGCCGAGTCCAAGAACAGACTCGCTGAGTCTAAGGCTATCTTCAACCTACTCGCCGAGTTGTTCATCCAACTCGTCGAGTTCCAGACCATCTTCATCCAACTCGCCGAGTTATTCTTCCAACTCGTCGAGTCTCAGCTCGTCTTCAAGCAACTCGTTGAGTCCACCCATGTGACTCGCCGAGTACCACCGGTCTGAATCCATACAGAAGCATCCCAGGCCATGCAATTGGTCCAAAACATAGATCTAGCCTCCTACAACCCATCCATCACGTAAAGTGGCAAACTTTATGTGAATCCATGAAGATCTAGGCATTATACACATTAGGGCTAAGGTTTGGGACAAGATAGCTTCACTACATACTCAATCACAGGGACTTTCAGGCATTCCAACCCTTCTCCATTCCAGATCTGAGGTAGCAACCTCAGATCTAACCTCTAGACTCCAAAACACCAATAGATATGATCTTAACACCCCCAAAAATGAAGAATCTAGACAATAGCAGCACAAGAACGAGATATTACCTCCAAAAAATGCCCCAACAGCAATGAAACTCAGATCCAAGCAAAACCCTTTGATTCAAGCCTCTTCTCCTTCAAGATTTCTTCAACAAGCTCCTTTCCAAGCCCCAATTTTCTCAACAATGGTGCTTCTCCACGATTTTAGGGTTTCAGGGACTCAAAGGGGTGATAAAGAGGCTGGGGAGGAAACATAATGCCCTTTATATAGGGCTCATTCCCCGGATTTAGGGTTTTCTTCATCCAGCACCTATTCGCCGAGTCCATCTTTGGACTCACCGAGTAGGCCACTTGACACGCGACCAAAGTCGCGACTCTACTCGCCGAGTCCATCGATGGACTCGCCGAGTCGCCCTTCAAGACTTACACTTTTAGCCCTTCAACTCTACTCTTGCTATTCCGGGATGTTACACATTTGTTTTATTTATTTATTTATTTTTAACAAAGCCGAGAGTAGGAGGAAAGAATAAGAACATGGATGTTGGGCTTGATATAGCATTGGCCCATTAGGGATTTTCGATCCATGTGGGCCCATATATGAGCTTATGGGCCAAAAGGGTAAAGGATATGGGTTTTTCGCCCAATGTGATTGTTTAAGTGGGTTTTCGGCCCATAAAAACAAGTTAAGTGGTTTTCGGCCCATAGAGAAAAAGTGAGTGATTTTCGGCCCAATAAGGCCCATGAAGGGTCCTATAGCCCAAAATTCTATTACTTAATGAATGTGTGTCCAACTAGGGCCCAAATGAGGATTCTTGACCCAAGAGAACTAAATTGAGGGGTTACTGGCCTATTAGGCCGACAAAATTGCAAAAATGATCCCTGTGGTTTGTCAATTTCTATGGGTAAGGTCCCAAAAAAAGTTTATTAGAAAAAAAGGTCCCTAATTGATGGTTTTGTTGAGGTTTTAGTCCCTACCTCGTTAAATTTAACAACATGGTAATTAACTTTTAGCAAATGATAGATTTATCCCTGGGATTATTTCTACAATTTTATCCTTTTACCAAACTACAAGGACCAATTATGCAATTTTTCTTTTTTATTTTATTGAATTATTAAATAATTGAATTACTTTTTTCTTTTTAATTTTTTTCTTATTGTATTTTTTTCTTATTGGATTATTATATATTAATAAATATTATTTTTAATATATTATATTTATATATTAATAAATATAACTTTTTTATTATTAATTTTTTTAATTGATTTTTTTAATTTCTTCTTTATTGTATTAATTCTTTTTTATTGGATTATTATATTAACAAGTATTATTTTTAGCATATAATATTTATCTATTAGTAAGTGTTACTTTATTGGATTATTAGTTGTATTTAATTAATTTTTTTTATTTTTTTTAATTTCATTAGTTCTTTTTATTGGATAACTAATTTAATTTATTATTTTTATCTATAATAAATAATATTTTTTTAATTATTATTATTATTTTTTTAAATTTCTTTCGTTATTGTTTCAAATAAAAATACCAAAAAATCTCACCCACCCCACATTCTTTAATTTATTTTAAATATTTGGAAGATAACATATTTTGGACAACACCACCACGATCACTCAGTCACAACGAATCACTATAAGCCGTCTCCAACCCTGTTACTATATATATAAATATATAAGTTCAGTAATTATTCACTAAGTGAGATCATCATGTGTATTTTAGTTTTTGTGTATTCATATATATCTAAATTTGATATATATATATTTCAATAGAATTATGATTGACATATATAATTTCCCAAAAAAAATATTTCTACATGAATTACCAAATCTGAGTATTCACTACTCGGCGGTCGGCCAAACAAGTACCGAATAATGAGTTCTACAACTTTGTCACCACCTGTAGTGGCTATGGTGGTTTGAAAACTCTCGATCTAACATTGTCGTCATTGATGGTGGTATTTGTAATGAATGGTCGGTTGGAGGAAGTATGTTTTCTGGGGTTTATTTCACATTGTGTGGGTAGTCAACTAGTGTAGTTTTCTTCAAGAATGACCGACTGTAGTCGATGATCGATGATTTCCAACGAGATAATACGACGATGCAAGGTGGTAAAATGCAACGAATGGAGGAGCTGACTCGGAGTGTTTGGTATTTTTATTTAAAATAATAAAGAAAGAAATTAAAATAAAATAAAAACAATTAAATAAATATTAGTTATAATAAAAAAAATTATAAATTTAAATTAATAATCCAATAAAAAGACCTATTGATATAATTTAAAAAAAAAATAATTAAATGAAATTAATAATCCAATAAAATAACACTTACTAATAGATAAATATTATATGCTAAAAATAATATTTGTTCATATCTAATAATCCAATAAAAAGGAATTAATACAATAAAGAGGAAATTAAAAAAATCATTTAAAAAAATAACAAAAAAAGTAATATTTATTATTATATAAATATAATATATTAAAAATAATATTTATCAATATATAATAATCCAATCAAAAGAATTAACGGAATAAAAAAGTAAAAAAAAAAAATAATTAAATGAATTTAATAATTCAAAATAGTAACATTTACTAATAGATAAATGTTGTATGTTAAAAATAATATTTATTAATATATATTAATCCAATAAAAAAGAATTAATGCAATAAAGAAGAAATTCAAAAAAAAAATTAATTTAAAAATTAATCAAATAAAGTCATATTTGTTAATATATAAATATATTATATTAAAAATAATATTTAATAATATATAATAATCCAATAAAAAAAATAATACAATAAGAAAAAAAGTTAAAGAGAAAAAAGTAATTAAAATAATTAATATATAATAATTCAATAAAACGAAAAAGAAAAATTGCATAATTGGTCATTGTAGTTTGGTAAAAAGATAAAATTGCAGAAATAGTCACAGGGGTAAATCCATCATTCGCCAAAAGTTAACAACCATGTTGTTAAACTTAATGAGGTTGGGATCAAAACCGCAACAAAACCATCAAATAAGGACATTTTATGTTAATAAATTTTTTTTGGACCTTACCCACATAAATTGACAAACCACAGGGGACCATTTTTACAATTTTGTCGATTAGGCCAAATAAGACAATCTTGGTCCAATAAGAGTCTAAACCGGGAAGTTAGAGCCTCAAGCCCAAAGTTGAATGAATGCAGCGTATTGAATTATGTTTAGAGCTTGAACAAGTGAGTTTTGATTCAAATTGTTGTTTTTGAATGAATAACTTGTATAATATCATACTTAGGGTTACAAGATACACCTAAAGTTAATTACCCATGGACAAAATTTCTTAACCCTAAAATGCTAGTTGTGACAGATTATTATAGATTAGTGGTTAAGATTTTGTTCCCACATCTCACAAAATATCATTGTTTCACATGAACTCAACTCTCTCTCTCTCTCTCTCTCTCTCTCTATATATATATATATATATATATATATATATATATATATATATATATATATATATATATATATATATATATATATATATATATATATATATATATAGAAAGATACTTTATGTGTAAAAAATAGTATAAATTGAGTTTGGGAGATCAAACACTATTTGTAATATTTTTTTAGTACATTTTGATTATAGAAAAAATGAAAGTGATAAGTTGGAGATGGTTTAAGATTGTAAGCATCTTTTTTATGGAATACTTTCTTCTAGAGATGTTTCCTGATCACAACATGACCTTGAAATGTTCTTGCTCTAGGCACCAACATAAATGATTAGATCGAATAAGAAGACTTTCATACAGCTGGTATTATTATTTTCCAGCAAATTATGGATTACTACTTTTTTGATAGAGGGAGAAAGAGGATGGACGGATGTATAATGTAAAGTTGGTGTGAAACTTTTTAAGTTCTAGCTTTAATTACTATTGATACAAGGACTCTATTATAAAAGACTTTGATCAGGACAATATGCATATGAAGCATCTTAATGCACATTCTATATAGTTTATTACAGGACTATGACGATTTATTTTTGTGTCTGATAATTTGTTTTTGAGTTTTTAATGGATCCAACTTTGAATACTGTCTCTTGAAATTGTTTTCCATATCTTCATTAACAGTGGGATCGTTGCAATTGCGGTTTAAGTCAGCTCATCTCACATCTTTTCCGGTGAACACTTCATAAACAGCACCTGTCCATATATCCGACCCTAAATCCAAACTTCGCCGCTAAATGCGTCTATAAACTTTCTTCGAGCCATATTTACATTCACAATCATGTAATACCATAATAGGACCCCATAAACTATACCATATATGGATAGACAAATATACACATAATATAAGATACGCTTGATATGACCTTTGATAAGTGTAAGAATAGGTTTCTTGGGATATTTATCATAGTATGATTTCAACTCCTCCTCCGACATATCACCAGGTTTAACATACCTTAATTGATATTCAAGGGCAGCGTTAAGTTCTTGTATGATCTCAGCTACTAGTGGACGTTGATAATGATTTCTTTGAAGACATTGATATGCAATTTTGGAGAACTTATCCAAGCAATCTGGTGATATTTGATCTTGCAGACAATCAAGTACAATGGTCCGCATTTTGTTTTCTTCATAGCAGCTTTGTGCCAACTTTGACAAAAATCTACGCCCATCATCGTAATTAGCTATGCAAAGCCTTCCGCACAAGACTTCAAATAACACCACCCCAAAGGAGTAGACGTCAGATTCTTTTGTCAAATACCCCTTATCCACATAAAGTGGATCACAGTACCCAGGGGTACCTGCTGGATGAGAAATAAGAAATGTGAATTCTTGGTTAGCAGGTCCGATTTTCGAAAGGCCAAAATCTGAAATTTTGGCATTCCAATTGTTATCTAACAGTATGTTGGAGCTTTTAATATCACGGTGTAACACTCTTTGTGTAGTCCCACCGGGGTTGTGAAGATACTCTAGCCCACAAGCTGCTCCAATGCATATGTTAAGGCGTTGAATCCATGAGAGTTTAGGGCTACTAAGATACCTGTCGAGGCTTTTGTTAGGTAGATATTCATAGATGAGGACATTCTCACCACCCTCATCGGAATATCCCAAGAGAGAGACGAGATTTTCATGTCTGTAACGAGAAAGCATCATGATCTCTTTCCAAAACTCTGGGGTCCCTTGTCCGAATCTTCTATCTAAGCGCTTTGCTGCAACCATAACCTGATCACCGAAGTGAAAGAGTTCTCCTTTGTAGACCTTACCAAATCCACCTTCACTGATGTAGCAGTTGTCACCAAAGTTATTGGTTGCTAATTTTATAGCTTCTAGGGGAACTTTAAGGTGCGCAAACTCGTTTATGGAAGACATTTTATGATTTTGGTTAATATTCAAGGAAAGGGAATTCAAATATATGTGAGATCCAAGCATATACAACTCGAGAAATTGAAAGAATGAATGGCAATGAGATGCTAGTTTCCACAAGTCTTATCGCCACCAAACACTCGGAAAAATATGCTTGAATTCAGTCAAAAATGAAATCGCAAATTAAAGAAGAGAGGGAGAAAAACGTTGTTTTCCCCTAGCCATATAGCGGAAATAATTGGTTCTTTAGATATCCGCGACAAAGCAATGCAGCTACAACTCGTGGCCACGCAACCAACCACATACGTAAGTCGATGCTAACACGTATTTTATTTGTTCACACTTCAAATTCCATACACCCAACTGGAGGTGGCTGGCTGCCCACTCGAAAATAGTTGAAAGGATATAATTCTAAGGATAATTTTGTAAATTACCTACACAGATATTTTTGAGATATTCATTACAACGACCATTAAATAAACATAAAGCGATATTAACCATTTTCTACCAAAGTTCGCCGAATGGCCTTAGAGAAAGTAAAGGAAAAAAAGAAGAAGAAAATAGTTCAAAAGATTTTAAATATTTTTAATATTGTTATAAATTATTTGATAAAACTTATAAAAATGAAAATACATTTAAAATGCAATCTATTCATATATTTTGTATCAATTATTATATATCAAAAACAAAAATATTTAAGTTAATCAAACTAACCTATCAATTAGCACCAATGAAAACACCAAAAGCAGTTCCTTCAACCCATGCCATTATTTGAGACATACATCTGATGTCAAAGTCCATCTAACTCCAATAACCCTAGTTACAATCATCGATTTTACATTTGGGTTATCACAGACAAATATACCCCTATGTTGGAGCTTCACTTACTCACCGATGTTCAAAAACCAATGTCGATGATCTCATTGGAAGACGCCACAGAAAAGCTAAATACATACTTAGAGTACGCCATGTAGAGAGAAGATTTCAAAGGAATGAAGGAAGGGCTAGGGACATATATCATACACAAATATCAAAGGATTTGGGCTTCTCGATGCACCTCTATTGTATCTACCATAGATTCAACTCTTGATCAACTACACCCTCTATGGTGCATCCATCCTATAGTCCATACTATAATTCCTCTATTAACTTAAAATTACAATGTTATCCCAAGTACCTTCAATTCATTACTCGTATAATCCCTAGATTATGCGAACTTAATATTAGAAGGCTTGTGATTGATGGGGTGTGGATGGATGGGACAGGTTCGGTGAAAGAGTAATTGAAGGAGTTCTACCTGGCTAAGTTCGCCCAGAAGGGTGGTTAGAGGCCTAATTGTAGTCCTCAATATTTTCATCTTGTATCGACAAAGCAACTTATGTTTATTCAGGTGCATTTTCTAGGGAGAATATTAAACAGGCGGTTTGGGATTGTGGTGTGGATAGAGTCTTGATGGGTTTTTGTTTAATTTTCTAAAGAAATATTGGGATTTGTTGTTAAATGATATAGTTACTTTTGTTGAGAACTTTCATAAACATGCTTTTACCCCAAAGGGATGTAATGCCTCATTTTTCTACCATTATCTCTGGTGTTTTGATTGCTTGGATTTATAGAGTCATGATGCACTTTTAGATTTAAATATTTCGATTGTGCAAGTAAAATCTTGAATGGATAAAATCTAGTTTTGTTCAACAGAGATTGTGGAGAGTTATTATTCTTGTATGGGATTTGGAAATGACCAAAAAATGAGAAGATAACCCAAGGTTTGAAACTGCTGAAAATTTGCATATGTATTTAGAAAACCACATACAATTGTGTTAAACCAGGTCAAAATTATGGTTTTAAACCTGATTTTTTTTACCCTTATTATAGATCCGATTTTATAATAGTTGTATGTGGTTTTGTAACGGTATATGATAGTTTTCAGCAGTTTCATACCATGAGTTATCTTCGTGTTTTTTGGTCATTCTCAAATCTGGTAAAAGAGTTATAACTCTCCACATTCTTTGCTAAAGAAAACTAAGTTTTATCCGGTTGAGATTTCGATTGTACCATTGAAATATTTCAATCTAAAAGTGTATCATGCCTCTTAGTGAATTCAAGCAATCGAAACACCCATATTTCTAACAAAGATTGAAATTTTCTATGAAAATGGCGAACGGGGAATCTATGAAGGACATGACTAGTAAGTTTTAGAAGATGATGAAGTTTAAAGGGCAAGATTTTCATCATTGATAGAAGAAAATACATTTCTTACTACCCTAAAAGTAGTGTATCTTCTGAGTACCCCTATGCATGGATATACTGAAGATGAAACCTTGGAAGTGTCTTGGAGGAGATAAAAATGGGAGAAATATAACCACGTATCTCATGGTTACATCTAAAACAATATGTCTGACTCTCTATTTAATGTTTACCGAAATGTCAAATCTGCAAAGGACCTGTGTGATTTGCTGGAATCCAAGTATATGATAGAAGATGCATATAGTAAGATGTTTCTGGTCAGTAATTTTATGAATTACAAGATGGTTGATGTCATACCCCGAAACCGAAGGCGAAAACGTTCCAGGGCGGAGGACGTCATGCGTAGTATCACAACCAATGTACATAGCAAGCATAGTAAACATAACCATTACATTACATAGAAATAATTATATTTGTTTGAAAGCAAAGTGATACATATTTTATATATACATCAGTACGAACAAAAGTAAAGACAAGACTTCTATAAGCTTCGTCTTCTCCAAAAGAACGCGGGGTACCTGTCTAACGAGAACCTGAGAATACAAGCAGTTTTAAAAATATCAGCATAAAGCTGGTGAGTTCATAAGCATGTTTTGTAAGGAAAAATGGTTATTAAATCTTGTGAAAATACTTCATTTCCTTTGATAAAGAATGCCATAATATCGAAAACCATTGTTACTGAGTTATGAAATACATATGCATGTTTTCAGAAAATCCCATGTTTTCTAACATGTTAGTCGATTTCCATGAGATAAGAAAAACCTTGGTTATTACCAGTAAGATAAGAAAACCGTAAGTTATGATCCCTGGATTACCCTCCAGTATGAAAGTAGGTAGTTTTAATACATAAAACTATAGGTTAAGATTCCTGGAATACCCTCCAGTACGAAAGTAGGTAGTTTTAATACATAAAACTATAGGTTTAAGATTCCTGGAATACCCTCCAGTACGAAAGTAGGTAGTTTTATTACATAAATAAAACTATAGAAGAAAGAAAGAAATCCGTGGACAAAGTTAGTTAGTTTAATACGTATTGTGAGTCGCATAACCATACTAATTTGACCCGTGACCTCCTTGACGTTCTTCAGGCGTCGATCGATTCCAAAATTTGTCACCCCAGGCGTACCCGCCTAACTGTAGCTAACAGTTTAGGTGTGGGATTGTCAGTCCCGAATAGATCTCTCCACAAATTTCACGCTCTCCCTCCAGGAGACTTTGGTTATACTTTCGGTGAGGATTTACTGGTACCCCAAAGGGTATAACGAAGACAAGTCTCACAAGCTAGAATTAACTGATTCACGGGATAATGATCATTCTCGAGTTTCGAAATCATTTGGAACAAGGTAGAGTATAAATAATCAAATACAAAGTAATTATTTAGCATGATACTCTAGATTAAAGATGGATAAACTAAATCAGACATAGTTTATATTATTGAATTTGAGCAAAATCTGAATCCGTAAAAAAAGTAATGAAGATCCTAAATTATTCCGTTAATAATTTGAATGATTTGTTAAGTTCCCACTTTGTTTGAAAACCATGTAATTATATTCAGAAAATCTCCCTTGCTCTGCATATTACAAAACGGATGAAGTATGTAAAAGTTTGTCAGAAAATCATATAATTACATCAGTTTTTAAGTTTCGAAAACCTTTATGATTTGCTTGTATCCCCCCTGAAAACATGAAAAACTCAGAAAAAGTGTAGGGGTATGAACTCACCAGACGAGAATGTGTCGGGTAGGATGCTAAGTGTCAATTTAGGGCTTGAACACGCGCGAGGGTCGTATGTAACATGGAGTGATACACAATTGTATCTAATTAGACATTAAACCACTAATTAAGTAAGATAATGCACTCCGATGCACGTAAACACTTTATCTCAAGTGTTGGAAGTGATACGGGTTGCATCTAAGGAGTGTAGGGCTTTGATAAGGAGTTTACACTTCAAGAGTAAACCTTAGGGAATGTTACGGCCCAAAGACCATATCCACCATGAGTTTACAGCCGTAAACTCATGGGTGGGATGTTTTTGGTTGCTCAAAGGTCTTACATTGCACAAGGGAAGGTTCTAGGGTTGATTCAAGGGCTTAGGAAGTGATCGGGACTTGAAATGACCTTTGAAATGGAGTTTGAGGTTCTTGAAGGACACTTGGTGAGTTTACTGCCATGAACACATGGGTTTACATCCGTAAACTCATGCTTGGCCCATTCTTTCATGATTTAGGGTCTCAAATGGAAGGATACAAGGTTCTATGCATTAATCCAAGCCATAGGGGGAAGTTAGGGCACCATTTGACCTCCTTAAGGGAGTTTACAGCCAGAGGACCAATCCCTTGGGGGTTCATGGCCGTAATCTCTTGAAGGTCTTGGTTTCTTTGATGTTTAAGGTCCCTACTTCGATGGTGGTTGATTCTATGTTAAGTTCCAGGCATAAGGAAGCAAGAAAGGGAAATTTTGCACCCTTTAAGGGAGTTTACGGCCCAAGAACATTCTTTGGCCGTAAACTCTCATTCATAGGCTGTAAACTCATGTTTACTCCCATTAAGTCATGATTTTGGGGTTCTAAGCTCATGCATGCTAGTCCTTAAGTCATACCTAAGCACTAAAAGGGTTGCGGGGCTTCAAAACCCACTTATGGGTGTTGACGGTTTGAGGGGTGTTCCTTGGCTGTAAACACATGATTTTGAGGCTTTTGAATGATTTAAACATGAATTTTCATGCATAATAAGCTAAACAACAAGCTAGGAAGGATCACTTACGATTTTGGAGCTTGAAAGGGGCGTTTTTGGATCAAAATCAACTTGTAGAGAGAGAGAGAGTAGAGAGAGATTGTGTTAAGAGTGGGGAAAAATCTCAATTGAAGGTCCACTCACCCTTATATAGGTTTTGAGTTTGCGGCCTGATGGAAATCTACCCGATCCCGACGTTAACGGAGTTTATGGTCGTACGCGATTAAATGGTTGTAACTTGACTTGGTCGTAAACTAAAAACTTTTCAAAGGGATATCGAGGGTGTTTCACGTGTTTCTAATTCGTTTGGACACTCATGAAGTCATATTAAAAGTCTTAATTGATTTGCCTAACCCAAAAGTTAACGAAAATTTTTAAATAAAAATAAATTTTATTAATGGAAATGAGTTACAGTGAGGAATAAATTTCAGGTTGTCACATCATCCCCCGTTAGAGGGAATTTTGTACCGAAATTTAGAATTAAGATATAAATTATGGATTTGGAAAGAGATGCGGATATTTCTGCTTCATCGAGTCTTCGTGCTCCCAAGTGAATTCGGGTCCCCACTTGGCATTCCAGCGAACCTTCACTATCGGGATGCGGCTTTGTTTCGTACATTTAATCTCTCGATCCATGATTTCGATTGGTTCTTCCACGAAGTTCAGATTTTCGTTGATCTCGATCTCATCAAGAGGGATCACGAGGGTTTCGTCGGATAGGCACTTTTTGAGATTAGAGACGTGGAATATAGGATGCACTACTAGAAAACAGACCTTTAATGACGCGCGTTTTACGATACGCGATAATTAACGATACGCAAAAGGACGTGCCCTTAAAATAGCGTCATCTCTCCAAAAAATTTAAGGATTTACGTCACGCTTTATTGGGTGCCCTTAATTTAGTTTCTCAAGAAAAAAAAATTAAAAACACGGAGGGCGCTTTATCTTAAACGCGTGTCGTCTGTACCTGTCGCTTTATAATTTTAATGAAATGCGCTTTTAGTAGATAAGGGGGAAATGAAATCCCCAAAATTTTGAAAACCCGCCTTGTTTTTTTCTATCTTCTATCTATCTTTCATCTTTGCAATCACGACCATTCAACCTAACAAGGACGAGCATTGCACTCTTGATTTCCCTAACTCTTTCTCATTTTCTGATTCAAACTTGAAAGAATCGAAAAAAATCTATCAATTTTGAAGCCTAGAGAATCACAACAACCGAATTCATTACATCTTCATCTTATTCACATTACTACTTCAAATCTCATACCCTAATTTTCCCTCAGCAACAATTCTAGCAGCTTTGCAGACATGGATCAAAACCCAGATGGGGCAAATTGGAGGAAGAAGATGATGGCGGTGACTATGACTATTTGTTGCCACCGAAACAGGTTATTGGAGCCGACGAACACGGGTTGAAAGTACAAATTCAAGAACGAAGGTAATCGGGTTAAGATTACCACCACCACACGCGCCTGTAAACTCGCTAATGCTCGGCTGAGCAAGCGCGCCATGGAGAGGCGATTTTGGCCTAAGTTCGGTGATGTCGTTCAAGAGGACGTTGGTGCCAAACTCACCATGGATTCTACCAAGGAAATCATCTTTGAGCGACCAAGGGCTCCAGGTACGTCATCCCTAGATCTGAAATTTCATATAATTGTAACAATCCTTTATAATTATTTATGTGAAATTTTTAAGACATATGTAGTTTAAGAAGTTTATTACTTTATTTACATCTAGCCCTAGTTCTTTACATTAGGTTTATTGCCTAGATCAACAGTTTCAGTTGCGATTCACTATGCACATATCAATCATCATGACAATAGTCAATCACTACCGATTTAAAAACTTAGGAATATATCTCAATTTCATTGCTGCTTGTTAGATATGCAGATTGTGAATGCGAAGTTTTGTCTTTTAGGTACAAAAGTTGAAGACTCAAATGCAGCTGGAGACCCATTAGCCCAAAAGTCGAAAGGAGGAGATGTATTGATGGTATGCATGACATGTGGGAAGAAAGGAGACCATTAGACCTCAAATAGCCCTTACAAGGACTTGGCTCAGCCTACCGAGTCCTTCTCTGAGAACCCAAACCCTTCAGACTCATTAGCCACGGGTGAATTTGGACTCTGGTTCCCATCATAATCGCACTAATTTTCTTACACTTATAGACCCGATGATTTAGGGCACTAATTCTTGATTGAAGTGACCGATTAAGATAAACACATAAAGTTCTTTCTTTTTCTTTTATTTGACAAGTGCGACCACATATGAACTTCATATGTGGGTTGCCCTGTTGCAAAGCTTGAAGGATGGGGACCTAAACATGGGAGGAGAAACAAGAAGTAAGTTTGATTCTCTGTAGACTTCATTTTAGTGATTTAACCGTGGATATTATGTATGATTAGCTTATTATGAATTCATATTTAGTTGTTTGTGAATTTTTACTACGAGAACAACTTGTTGGCAACATGGTTTAAGTTCTTTTTCGCGTCGATGATCAGGGTTACATTAGTTGATGAAACTTGAAAGAAAGAAGCTTTAACAAATTGTCCAGTTGAAGTTAGGTTGATAGTTTTCACATGTTTGCCTGTTTTTAATAGAAGGAGAAATGGTTTTTTGATTGAATGTACTTTGATTTTTTTTTTATCTTTATTGTTTATGGGGGTTATGTTTATCTAGCAATTAATTTGTTGATAAACTTGTGGCTTCCAAATTCACAGGTCGATTTAAATAATTTGGAAGAGTACATTTCACTGGTGGTTGATGCTACTATCAAGACTGGTATCACAAGGCAATTGGAAGCATTTAGAGCTGGCTTTAATCAGGTCATCATCTTTTTCCAACATTCTAATATGCTAAATTGTTTATGGAATTAGAAAATATACAAAATAATTTTTTAAGCTAATATTTTATCTTATTACTATCAGGTTTTTGATGTTTCAAGTTTACAAATATTTTCTCCAAGTGAGTTGGATTATTTACTCTGTGGGCATAGAGAAATATGGGAGGTAATTTGCTCATCTTTTTTCTACTTAAGCATAACATGTATTCTTTGTGAAAATGATATGTTGTAGAGAATTCATGTTTCTTTTAAATGCAGGCTGATACACTTGTGGAACACATAAAATTCGACCATGGGTACACATCCAAGAACCCTGTAGTAATTAATGTGAGTAATTTTTTTTAGCAATATTCAGGGAATATTTATAAATTTATATTATAGTTAATATTAATAGTTTTGTTTATGTCTCTTTGTTAGTTGCTTGAGATAATGGGAGAGTTCAATCCAGAACAACAAAGGGCATTCTGTCAATTTGTTACTGGTGCACCCCGGCTTCCTCCAGGTGGCTTAGCTGTCTTGAACCCTAAGTTGACCATTGCCAGAAAGGTAAAAACACCCCCCTCAACCACCCCTTGTTTTCAAAATTTTATCTAGGTGAATTACGAAATTGCCCCTCCTCAGTCACTAACCCTTTATTAATTACAACACTCTTCAAGCTCCAACAACACTGCATCAAATGCTGCAGGTGGAGTGTTGGAATCTGCAGATGATGATTTGCCAAGTGTCATGACATGTGCCAACTACCTAAAGCTTCCTCCCTATTCCACCAAGGTAAACAAACTTTTCATTTTTTTTCTATCACAAAGAAATGGTTTTTTGATTGAAGAGTATTGTTTTCCCTCTTCTCAATAAGACTTTGATGCAAATATAGATCAAAATGTCTGGATTTTAGACAAATCTGATTAGAAGTAGTTTTGAATCAAATTGATAAAGAAGTCATAGAACCCTAAATTATCTAGATTTCTTTGACACTTGAGTTATGATGTTTTGTGGTCTAAGTCACCTTTATGTCATATTCTGTGTGATTTTGCCGGAATTGGAATTGGGATTGGAACTGGAATTCGATTCCATTCTAATCCTGCATCATGTTTGCAACACTGTCTCTTTATAAATAGTAAATACTCTAACTACCATTTTAACCCTATATCTCACAAGTAAACATATATCTTGCATTTCCATCTACTTTTCCTCTTCATATTTTTTACAAATTCCAATCTATTTCTTATCAACCAAATGTGTGAGAGAATCCAATTTCTTCAGATTCCAGATCCTTCAAATTCCAATTCCTTTGAATATGGTTCATTTATTTGTGTATTATATAGCATCATACTTTCATTTCTTTCTTTAAGACATTCTATTTTCAAATTTTTTTCTTATCAAGGCATTGTATTTTGTAAACTTTACCCAATTATAACATTCTTATTGTTTGCATTTACACTTCTTTACACGTCCCAATTTCAATTCGTTTATTTAAAAATTGATCATTTTAGGTTTTAGATTATATTGATAACAGGTGAGACATGTGATATAGAAAGAATCAGCTAATAAAAATTAGATATTCACCTCTTTTTCTATATTTTGTACGATAACAACATACAAAATTTGTATATTTGCCAGGAATTTGAGTCTGAATGGAGGAAATCATGGCTGATACTTGAGAATACAGTTGCTGTGGGTTTCAATTTCATATGTGTTTCTTGTTTGTCTATTATTATTAGTATTACGCAAGTTTTAGTATGTTTTTACTTCTGATCTGTGTGTTTATTTTTTCTAATTTTTGCCTTTGCAAATGACGTAACTACCCCTAGAAAGTTTTTTAAGAAAAATAAATTGGAAGCAAGCATACCAGATCAGCGTCAGGATCTGAGGAAGGCACCATGACATTAACTTCAGTTGATTTAGCAGTTGTTATAGATGTTTCTAGAGACTCTCGACTCAAGTACAGTTGGCACCCTACTGTATTATCTATAGAAATCGTAGGGGTTGCGCCCTATACATTTATATAATAACAAAATAACATATTTCTCTTTCACCATATTATTATTAACTAACATTAATTCAACAAAACTAATATATAGTATACATTACCTGGCATTGCACCTCAATACTGCTACACTTAAGTCTCAAAAGCAGAGTGTTGGAGTAAGGTATTTTCACTAATGATTTTATAAGCACTTTTCATATTTATAATGAAAGCCTTGTACGTTCTCTAATCTGTATCTTTTTAAAACTTATTCAGATTTGATCGGCCAACAAAGGACAACATACTGAAGTTTATCTTGGGATCTGCACTATCTTTGTGTCCATATGGAGGGGTAAGTTTCTTGCAGAATGATAAGTAATTGCCTTTGACTTTCATCCATTCTGCAGTTTTCCATGTTGACATTTCATCCATTCTTTACTAAGTGAACTGTTAGAAAGACACAGTCATAATAATTCCCATCAAATATTGTCAAAGACAGAAGTTCAAATCCTATGTCTTCTACTAGAGGTAATTTCTCTAAAAACTTTACATAATAATAAGCCTTTAAAATCTCATTCTTTCATTGAATTAATTATTTCTCCCTCTTCTTAGAGCGGTACAAAGCTTACATCAGCAACTGGTGGGCCGCTGTTGAATCATATATTTTTAAGGCTCTTATGGTTGATCATTCAAACTCTGAAGATCAATCCATCATACAACCATGCTGGTCAACATTTCTGTGTAAGTAACTATTTTATTCATATCTTGTCTCTCCCTCTCTCTCTCTCATGTCCAAATCACTTTTCCATTCTATAGTATCTCAAGTAGCATCATATTTTCAAGGAAAAAGCACATCTGATGTGCTGCAAAAGAGATTCACAAACTTGACTTTTTAAACCTGATGTTTAAGACTACACTGACTATGAGATAGAAGTTTATGCAGAGAAGGAAAAAGATAGAAGTTTATGCATTAAGTACATCCCCAGCAACACCTTCTCTTACTATAATCAGGTCCTTGACACCACTGCCATGCTTGGTGTTGTCCCCTCAAGATAGAAGTTTTGCCTTTTCTATTCAAAATTATAACTTAAAAACACCACCTGTTCCCTCTTTTCTAGCTTGTATTACTGTTGCTGGCTTCCAAATGAGGCCTTAATTGGCATAAACATTCTACTATTAGATTTATCCCTAATTTCTTTAATAGTCAATGATAGTGGGGTAGCATATTGAACTATTTGTTTAAGAAAGACATTATATCTTGTCCAATTTATATTTGAATTCAAGTTATGCATAATGTCAACATTGTTGGATTAATAAATACATTATACCTAAAGAATAAAGATTGTATGATGAAAGAAAGATTGTAAATTACCAACTATTGGTTTATCATCTGCTGAGTTAACCTACATTTTTTTCTGTAGTTTTATCTTGTTTCTGATTTAGCCATTAAAGAACTCATTGCAGTTTCCACCAACAGAGAAGGTAAGCTATAATATGCCAAAGTTGAATTAGTTTTTAAGAAATAGCAACCTACTTTTAGTGATTTGTTTATTATATCAAACTTTCATCTCTTCCTACTACTACAACATTGAAAACAAAAACAAAATCACATTTTCATTGTTTTAATTGGATATATTTTAGCTCCCAAGATTTTAGAAGGTTATCAATTTGTTTTCTACAATTATAACGTTTTTTTTAATAATTTTCAAATCTTGAAATGATTCGTTTAACCCTTAAAACAAAAAAGCATATGATATGTAATTACCTTCTGTTCAAGCTCAACCTTCTTTCCTTCCCCAAGAATCTCCTGTAAAGTGTGAAACTTTACACATATAGCATCAGAACACTTCATGTTGAAGTTGCACGAAACAATGAAATCGAAGCATCACTTGTGGTTTAATTCAGATTCAGGGACAAAAAGAGTCTTAGGGGTATTTTTGGAATATTTAGTTTTTCTAACTTTTATGCGTAGTCCTAGGGGCTACAAAAGGTGCTGATGTTAGTGATGAAAGCTTGGTTCAGATTAAAAAAGTGTTGTAGAGCTAACAAATGGTTCTTCAGGTATGCAATACTCTAGGCATAATTATAATATAAAACTATAAAAAATTTCATTTTTTTTAATATATATATATATATATATATACACACACACACACATATATATATATACATACATACATACATATATATATATATATATATATATATATATATATATATATATATATATATGTTTTGCTAGAGGTTACTAAAGAGAAAATTTTGCAAATGATATTTTTTGTTTTGTTTTGTAGAGGATACCCCTCCCATTTCCCCAAATTACCCCTTCCTCTACAATGTTTTTTTTGTTTCTATGTATTTTGTGCATCAGGTAAAGTTGGTGGAAGAAAGGAATATGAAGCCACTTGATTCAAGTCTTGCCGCATTATCAGCAAGATGCAATAAAGACTTGGAGTTGAATTTGGCTAAGTCATTATTGAGTGAGATGGGCGAATGTACAACTGCTTATCCATATAATTAGCTGCTTGGAGCATTAGTCTTAAAGAATTATGAAAGGCAAGATGAAACTTTACTTAGTTGGAATTTGATGTATATAGTAGATTAGATGCAAATTTAGATATTGTAAAAAATAGAATTGTATGACATTAAATTTTATGCAATGGATTGCATTTTTTGTATATGATATTTTATTTCTATTATGAGACATTAAATGCAAATTTAATTTAAAAATTAATAAATATATAAATATATTTTTTTAGAACAGTTAAAATTATGATACGCAAATATGTGTGTCATCTTCATTTATGACATGACCTTTCTTGACAGGGGCTTCCTTGATACGCATTGCGTGTCATAAACACACGCATCATAAGGTTACGACACACAAATGCGTGTCGTCTTCATTTATAACAAGGCCTTCCTTGATACACATTGCGTGTCATAACCGTGCGTCGTAAATGCGCGTCATAAATGCGCATCGTAAATGGGCGTCGTCTCTCTTTATGACAGGGCCTTCCTTAACGCGCATTTGCGCATCGTCTGAGCGTTTTATGATGCACAATGAGCGTCGTAAAAGGCCTTTTTTCTAGTAGTGATGGAGGTTGCCATGTTCTTGAGGTAGTAGGAGTTTGTAGGCTACGAGACCGGTCCTAGCAAGGATCTTGAAAGGTCCTATGTATCTTGGGTTCGGTTTCCCGCGCTTCCCAAAGCGTATCATGCCTTTCTAGGGTGAGACCTTCAACAAGACACGATCTCCAACCTGGAATTCCAAGGGTTTTCGTCGTTTATCGGCATAGCTCTTTTGTCTGTCTCGTGAAGCTTTTAGTCATTCTCGGATTTGGATGATCTTCTCGGTGGTTTCGCGGATGATTTCAGTACCAGTGGGAGTACTGTCGGGGACTCGACCCTTGGCTAGCTGAGTGTCCCCTACCTCGGCCCAACATAGAAGGGATCTGCACTTGCGACCGTAGAGGGCTTCGAACGAGGTAGCCTTAATACTGGTGTGGTAACTGTTGTTATACGAGAACTCGATCAAGGGTAAATGAGTGTTCCATGACTTTCCGAAATCGATGACACATGCTCTCAACATTTCTTCTAAGTTCTGGATAGTTCTCTCACTTTGCCCATCAGTCTGAGGATGATAAGCTGTACTCATATCCAGCTTAGTTCCAAGAGCTTTCTGAATGGACTGCCAAAATCTTGAGGTAAACCTGCTATATCGACCGGAGATGATGGACACATGCACACCGTGCAGTCAGACCATCCCTTGAATGTAGATTCGCGTGAGTCTTTCCATCTTGAACGTTTCTTTAATCGGTAGGAAGAGAGCGGATTTTTTCAATCGGTCGATAATTACCCAAATGGTATCGTAACCACTCGGAGATTTGGGTAACTTGGTGATGAAATCCATAGTAATCATCTCCCATTTCCACTCAGGTGTCTCAGGCTGTTGGAGTAGACGCGAGGGTTTCTGATATTCGACCTTCACTTTGGTGCAAGTCAGACACTTGCCCACGAAGGTAGCGATTTCGGCTTTCATGTTTGGCCACCAGTATAGTTTCTTGAGATCCAGGTACATCTTATCCGAACCTGGGTGAACAGAGTATCTGGTCTTGTGAGCTTCGCCCATAACAACCTCTCTGAAACCTCCGAACTTTGGGGTCCAGATTTTATCCATGAAACAATAGACTCCGTCACCTCTGATCTCAAGATTCTTATCCATTCCCCTCAAAGCTTCGTTCGACACGTTCTCTGGTTTTAGGGCTTCCAACTGGGCTTCTCGGATTTGTGTTGATAAGTGGGAATGGATGGTCATTGTCAGGGTCTTCAACTTGTTGCCTGATCTTTCCTTTCGGATAAGGACATCTGCTACCATATTGGCCTTGTCGAGATGGTAGCGGATTTTGCACTCGTAGTCACTGAGCAGCTTTACCCATCGTCGTTGTCTCATGTTTATGTCCTTCTGATCGAAAATGTGTTGTAGGCTTTTATGGTCGGTGAAGATCGTGCACTTGGTTCCGTAGAGATAATGTCTCCAAATCTTTAATGCGAAGACCACTGCTCCTAACTCCAGGTCGTGATTTGTGTAGTTAACTTCGTGTGCCTTCAGCTGTCTCGAGGAATAAGTGATAACTTTTCCTCTCTGCATAAGCACACGGCCTAAGCCCTGATTGGACGCATCGCAATAGACAACGGAATACTCTATCCCTTGGGGCAGGGACAGGATAGGTGCGCTGCACAAGGCTCGCTTTAACGTTTGGAATTCTGTGTCTTGCTTTTCACTCCAACAGAAGGGTACACCTTTCTGTGTCAGAGTGGTCAGGGGTTTGGCGATTCTGGAAAAATTCTGAATAAATCTACGATAATAGCCGGCGAGACCCAAGAATTGACGGATTTCTGTAGGTGTCTTCGGTGCCGACCAATTCTCCATTGCCTTGATTTTGGACGGGTCCACGTGTATACCCTCCTCTTTTACCACTTGACCAAGGAAAGTTACCTTCTGAATCTAGAATTCGCACTTGGAGAATTTTGCGTATAGCTTTTCTGATCTAAGAGTTTCCAACACTAACCTCAAGTGTTGTTTGTGATCTTCTTCGCTTTTGGAATAGACAAGTATGTCGTCAATGACCACGATGACGAAATTGTCCAGAAAGGGGTGACACACCTGATTCATCAGGTCCATGAACACTGCCGGTGCGTTGGTTAGACCGAAGGGCGTCACTAGAAACTCGTAGTGTCCATAACGAGTCCTAAATGCTGTTTTGGAAACATCACTCTCATGAACTCGTAGCTGATGGTACCCTGATATAAGGTCTATTTTTGAGAAGTAACTGGCTCCCTGAAGTTGATCGAAAAGGTCGTCTATTTGAGGAAGAGGATAACGGATTTTGACGGTCAACTTATTCAACTCACGATAGTCTATACACATCCGAAAGGATCCATCTTTCTTCTTCACAAATAATACTGGGGCTCCCCAGGGTGAGGAACTCGGTCTAATGAACCCTTTGCTGAGTAGTTCATTGAGCTGACTGGATAACTCCTGCATTTCTGCTGGCGCTTAGTGATATGGAGATTTGGCTACAAGATTTTCTCCGGGAATTAGGTCGATGCGAAACTCGACTTGACGTTCGGGAGGAATTCCTGGGAGCTCTTCGGGAAAGACATCAGGAAAATTGTAGACTTCGGGGATGCTCTCGAGGTCTTTAGCTTCCTGTTTTTCATTGATCACATGGGCTAGGAATGCATGGCACTCCTTTTGCATAAGCTTTTGAGATTTGATGCATGAAATGATGCGAAGATTTGAACTAAGTTTATCGCCGTAGATCATGAGAGTTTGGCTAGAGGGAAGATTGAGACGGATGGCTTTTTCGTAACAAAGGATATCAGCATGATTGGGACTCAACCAATCCATGCCAATGATAACATCAAAACTCTTTATTGAAACTGGCGTAAGGTCGATGGGAAAAAAATGATCGTTCAGGGTAAGGGTGCAACCTATGAATATATCGTTAGTGTTCTCTTTCTCGCCGTTAGCCATCTTGACGGTAAACGTTTCGGTTAGCGGTTGAGGATTATGCTTAAGAAGATGTTTGAATGAATGGCTAACACAAATTCTTTCAATACCAGAATCGAAAAGGATGCAAGCATAAGAGTTTTCGAGAAGGAACGTACCCGTGACAACGGTGGGATTGGCGACTGCCTCTTCTTGCCCAATCGTTAGAACTCTCCCAGTGTTGTTGGTTGTTGCTGCTTTGGGGAAGTTTCGCTTGTAATGCCCAACTTCACCACAACCGTAGCAGGCCTGACCGGCACCTACCCCAAATGTCTGATTGGTTGGTTGGGCTGGTGTTCTGCAGTTTTGAGCAATATGGACCTTCTTGCCACAGTTGTTGCAGAGCTTTTCATGACAAGGCCCGGGAGTACGATGGTGGTAACTGCACTTGCCGCACCAGGGGAGGGTACCCGTGTATCCACCGGTAGGATCCTAGGCTGTAGGAGTGGTGACAGGAGTAGTAGTAGCGTGGTCTGTCACAGTTTGTTGCTTCTTTGAGGGCTCTTGCGAAGACTGACCCTTCTTTTGTTTCCAAAATTTTCTTTTCTCACTACTCCGTTTTCCCTGTTCAGGAGCGGCGGCCGCTTCATCGAGATCGTCACCATGATCGATCAGGGTTTGCGCTAGACATTTAACGCTGTCGAAGGTGTTTGGCTTCGCAGCCAAAACATTTCCCTTGGTTGGCTGGGTCAGCCCCCAGATGAATCTTTCAATCTTTTTGCTTTCCGAGGTAACCATTCCTAGATAGAGAAGCGCTCGGTTATCAAATCTGGAGGTGTAAGCGGCGATATTAGAACCCTTCATCTTTAGATTCCAGAGTTCATGCTCTAGCTTCTGCATTTCACCCTGCGGGCAGTATTCAGCAAGTAGAAGCTCCTTCATGCTCTCCCAACCCATAGCATTGGCTACTGGTAGGGTTAGGGATTTAACTCGGCCATTCCACCAATTCAAGGATTTATCGGTGAAAGTGCAGGCGGCAAACTTCACCTTATTAGCTTCCGAACAGGAACAAATTTTGAAAATAGACTCGATTTTCTCAAACCATCGAGTCAGAGCAATAACACCTCCAGTGCCATTGAAAGGTGTGGGTTTCGCATTCATGAAATCTTTGTAGGAACACTCCTTTCGGTGTCCCTGACCACCTTCCTGGTTTTGAGGATGAGTACCACATCCTGGTCCTCCTGAACCGTTGGGGTTCACTTGTGACATGGCAGCAGCCACAACAGTAGTAATGGCTGCTTGAAACATAGCTGGATCAAACGGAGGAGGTGGTGGAGGAGGATTGTTGTTCCTTGAGCTGGGTCCTCTCCTTGGAGGCATCTTGATCTAAAATGATCAGGAAGAGAGGATGGTAAGTCCTCTGGATAGAATCAAGAGATATAAAACAAGAGATATCTCATTATGGCAGATAGAGTGTTCTACTATGCGATAATATATAGGAAAGCTACCAACGCAAGGGAATTTATCGC